AATGAGTTCGATCCCCGCCTGCCCCGGAGGAGACCACATGGCTCGACAGACCTCTCCTGACCCGCCCGCTGCTCCCCTCAGCAGTGTACTTCATCGATCTGCCTGTTCTGCTCCCCACTCTGTCCCTGGTGAATCCACTCACCCTCCGCATCTCTGGCCTGTACCCCAGTTCTGTATGGATAAATAAATAAATCTTAAAAAAAAAAAAAAAAAGAAAGAAAAGAAACACTATGGGTACAGAGAGATGTAATAACTGAAGGAAAAAAACTGCCAGCCAATATCATGCAAAGCTCTCAGATAGGAAGGATTAAAAAAAAGGTCTTCTCAGACAGACTGAAGGAGTTTGAATAAACAAGTCCCCTACCTCATAAGAACTATTGAAAAGAGCTCTTATATCGAAACCAATGAGAAGAACATGCACAAAAAAACTAAACAAGGAAAGAGAATCACAAAATTAAGATCAATAAATGAAAGCAACAGACTTTCATTTATCAATAATCACTGTAAATGTAAATGGATTGACTCACCAAAGAAATAGTATATGGCTGGATCAGGAAACAGAATTCAAATTGTTGCTCTCCCCATGAGTTGCATCTGAGCTCCAGAGGTAAACACAGATTCAACATAAAGGGTTGGAATACAATCCAGTAGCAAACTGGACCCAAAGGAAGGTAAGGAGAGTCATACTTATATCAAATGAAATAATTGCCAGTTTTAAAAAGGGTAACAAGAGACAGGGATGGAATACATCAGAAAGACATAATACTCATCTCTATCTATCTGTCTACACATGTATGATATATTCATCAAATAAAAGAATACCTTTGTGTTCCTTTGAACACAAAGATGTATTAGGCACTAACTCTGGACATAAACACTGAAAAATCACATTTGAAATAGCAGAATTCAACACCTCAGCCTCACCAATGGACACAGCAACCAGACAGCAAATAAATAGGAATTCAATAGCCTTAAGTAAATAATTCGACAAGGGCCTTATATACATCATCTCAAAGATAATGCCACAGTTGTTTCGCGCGCTCCTCCTTTGTTTTGTAATGTTCTTCCTTCATTTTCTAGTATCTTCCTTCTGCAGTCATATTTCTAAAGTTTGTTTTTAGTTTTGTCAGTTCCTTTATGGGTTTTCTCCCTATATACGCCACATAAGAGTGAAATCTTCTGGCATGTGTCTATCTCATTCTGACTTATTTCACTTAGCATAAGCTTTTCAGCTCCATGCATATTGTTGGAAATGGCAAGAGTTTATCTTTTTTATAGCTGAAGAGTATTCCATTCTGTATATATATATATATATATATTCTTAACCCATTGCTATGTCAATGAATATTAGATCACTTTCATAACCTGGCTATTTTAAGTAGGGTTGCAGTGAATATAACTGTGTATATCCCTTTGAATTAGTGATTTTGTGCAGGTGGTAGATACCTAGGAGTGGAATTCCTGGAATTGGACACTGTTTCCCATAGGGTCTAGATCAGACAACAATCC